TCTCGCGAGAGCGCGAGACTAGGCCCGAGACTTTCCGTGAACAAGATGGACTGATAGCCATCGAAAATTTGGAGGTTAGTATCTTTATCCTTCCAAAGTTGTCACTGATGAAAGAATTCACTAGGAACTGTATCTACACGTGACAAATGAATCTCTTCAACGATGCCCGTATTTTTATTTTTTACCGTAGTTGTTTTCGTGGTCCATGTAATACATTTAATAGGCTTTTGGGACTGGCTGCAGATAAACCGTTGTTTGAATCGGGTGGTGGTGGAGGGGGCGGGGAAGCTTCAGGCAGATAAGGGGTTTGTTCGTTAATTAGAAACTTGCTGTTTCGTCGCCTGTAGTTTAGTATGGGAGCTACACTTTAACTTTTCGCTCTTTCTTCTATCACGTTTAGGTCCAGAAGATTGACAAACTGCTACACGACGTGCACTTGGTGGTGAAGAATGCAGTATAGTTCTTTATTTGTTGTTTGTGTGAAAGATTATTCGTAAATACCCAAGTAAAAGTCACTTGTACAGTTGTTCCAATATGTGGTTTGCAAGCACCTACTGTTACAGTATGACAACGATGTTTTTGATTACGATGAAAATGTTTAACTAAAACCAAACTACGTGAGAACATCATGAGAAAAATACTGTAACAGTTGTAAATTGTGTGTGTGGTGGGGGGGGGGGTATTACTGTTGTTTTGATTTAGTTCCAAGATTTTTCAATTAGGCGCTGAGCTCTGGTTATTGTAAAATTCCTTGACTTGACTGATGGAATGAATTGTTCCACATATGTGATATGTTGGTAGTCTCCACCAGACTCCTTTGCAGGCTGAATGAATAGTAGAAATCAGCCTAAAAAGGGGATCGGACGTGTATATGGACTGTCTCTGGCCGGCTAACTCCTGGCCAATTAAATCCCCTTTTTTGGCTGATTTCTACTATTTATTCAGCCTGCAAAGTAGTCTGGTGGATAACAATATGTTGGTACGGAGAGTATGTTGTAGAGTTCTCAGACCATTACATAAACAATGCCATAGATATGTTTGTAGGCTTGTTTCCATTTATGGTTATCGCTTATTATATTAGTTGGATTGGGAGGTGGGGAGGGTGTGAGTTGAAAAGGTTATCCCCAAGCAGATGTTTGGATGGAATTTTGTACAGTTTTCAGACTGTAACTGTCAGTCCCTCATTCCAGCTTACTGTCAATTAAGCCAGACAGTCAAAGTGGTTAACCCCATCTGCTTGGAGATTATGGAAAGATGAAAGGCACCTAGCAAAAAAGTGAAGGATTCAAACATTGCTGTATCTTTGTTAGTCTAAGGAAGTTTGCTACTGTTAGCTGAAATACCACTGTTTTATGTAAAATATGGCAAAATTTCTCTGTACACGAAATCTGTTAATAGAAAAAAAATTCTGAATGAGAATTTGATAAAGATCCAACGTGTGTATTGTCGATTTGCATCTGATTGGGTAAACTAGTCTTTATTTTGTTATTCTCATTTTTGTTTTTTGCCCACTAGGCATGTCGGTGGGGATGAGTAAGATATCATTGGCTACAGACAAATCGCATGTATTAGGATTATGTAAGACATTGTAATAATATATTGTGAGCGCACGGAATGGGATTTTTGGATCTTTCTTATACTTCGGAGCAATTGTAACAACCAGATTCCGTGGTGTAGCGGTTATCACATCTGCCTAACACGCAAAGGTCCCCGGTTCGATCCCGGGCGGAATCATTTTTTTTCAATATATTTATTCAGCAATTTTTTTCATCAAAGTTTTCTTGTATAATTCCGAAATCGGTTATTGAAAATTATGAAGTCATTTGGGCTTGGAGAGTGATATCATGTTTTGATATGATTAATAGCACAAGTAACTCAACTCTTCAAAAGTAAAAGCTAGCTGCATTTGTATATAATTCTCAACTCTGAATATCATTTGTAATCAGGCCATGTTGATTCGATTATATGGACGACATCCACGCGCGCATGAATTTTCGTCCGTTAAAAAAAAACGTTTTCAACCATACTAGTAGTATACTGGAAATCGTACAAAGCAGCTGCAAAATTATCAGATATATGCCGAAAATTGTAAAAAAAATTAATTGGAGAACGATACAAATGTCTTAGATTGTCAAATTCAATCCCAAAGGAAAAGAAGAAAATGTGAAGAAAATGAAGAGTCTATCATTCGCCATACCATACTCCGTGTGTTTAGTCATTTGTTAATAAACTTTCATAACCGCTTAGATTTTACAATTTCTTTTTGCCAAACGTTTTTTATTCGCACGCTCGCATCAGTTTTGAGGTCTTACACTACTATGAATACTAAATAAGCCTGTGAGTGATTGTATTTTTTCGCTCTTATCTTTCTTGGACGTCATTAAGACATGTCACGTTAGAGTAAGACTTTACATGCGATGGACGTCACTCGAAACGTCTCGAAGTCATCGTAAATAATCTAGTAGCAGAGTTTAAATATTGTTATAAAACAGTCCACCAAACCAATATATTCCGATGAAAATAAAAGTTTTGGCAGCGGTGGGATTCGAACCCACGCCATCGAAATGACTGGTGCCTTAAACCAGCGCCTTAGACCGCTCGGCCACGCTACCTACATGAGAATCAATTTGCGAACCGTTGTCGTGATGGTATTCTATGATATAGAGTAGGTTGGCAAGGCATACTCTGTATAGAAGGAGGTTAAATACAAGTATTTGAGAATACATTTGAGATTTGAGAATAATGAGAGTAGCTTAGCCTCTGCCTTAAATACAAGTATTTAACCTCCTTGTGTAAAGGTGATGAATTAAAATAAATGTTTTGGTGTTCTAAAAACACCTGTCGCGGTTTCAGTTAGTGTCATGTAGCAAATAATCTATAAATTCTTAACTTTTGAAATCAGTTTTTATGACGTTGCCATAGTTCTAAGGCATCAGTCGTTTGTAGGAAAAAATTAAACCTTTGGCTTTTCTTCGTTGTTAGCTACTTTTAGCCTCTACCAGGCTTGGGAAGCGGTTGGAAATAGCATACATTGGCGCATGGCCAAATACTACTAGTAAATAGACAGATAACATGCCAGGGGAGTGGGTCCGCAAAGGTGTACATATAGCCGCTTTAGCGGACCAACTCCCCTGGCATGTTGTATGCCTATTTGGCCAAAAGACTCTTTTGAGCCCCTTCAGAAATTAAGTACAACAGATTTCAAGAGACTCGATGCTACAGACAGATTAGATGAACAACACGTCAATTAAAAACAGATAAACATAAAATTTTATCAAAAGACTGTTTTGTTATATAATACAAAAAAAAACTTATGATTAGGTCCCACTAGATTGTGTTAACACCACAACGTGCACTAATCCTTATTGTTTTAACACTAGTATAGGATGTAGTAGATACATGTACAAATTGTCAAATACGTACACTGCTACCAAACGGTGTACTCTACGAAAATCTACCACCAGTGAGTAAAACAATAAAAAAAAAAGTTGAGGTTCATTGGTCACTGCTACAGAAGTGAAGATGAAATCATACATCAGTATTACTGGGGGAACCCACTCATGGAAAAAGAAGTCGAGGTCGCCCAGCAAGAAACTATATCAACCAATGAATGGACGACACCCAGGTCGACAGGAAAAAGCTGTGGTAGAAATGTATGTTCAATAGTTGCTCCCAAACGTGGGAATAAGAGAAAACCTCTCAATTCAGAGGCAAAAGCTGTGGCAAGTGGAACATCAACAGATACCAACTATGCAAATGATGACCTAATCTGCATAATTAATGTGAACATTTTGTGACTCCTTATTGGTGAATTATGGGAATTTTATACCTTGTGACATGTGTAAGTTACTTAAAGGTTAACATCACGATCCATATATTATGTTAATATAGATGTAATTTGCATAATTAATGAGGACATGTTGAAATGAGGCATGGCAAAGAAGAGGAATTTTACACAAAAATATTGTCATTTGAATTTAAAAAACCATAAATTAAACTAGATTATGCTAATTACGACCTTATTTCCAGGCATAGTCAATGAGACATAAAACAATCATATATTTCATGGAGGTATCGTATGTAAGAATTCTTGTTGTATTTTGTTGTGTGGCGCAAGATATAAACTTGAGTGCAGCGCCACACTGTCCTTGTTATGTTTTGATGTTTTGATGAATAAAAAAAATATGGTTGTCAAGAGGAGATTATAGGCCCTTGGCTTGATCTTTCCAATGATTTTTAAAAGTTAGTATTTGCTTCATTTATGACATATATGTTAGTTTATTTAGGCCATGTTGATTTGATTATATGGATGACATCCTCGCGCGCATGAATTTTCGGCCGTTTCCAAAAAAAAAAGTTTCAACCATACTGTAAATCGTACAAAACAGTTGCAAAATGAGCAAAAATATACCATAAGTTACAAAAAATTTTATAAAAACTATACCAATGTCGTAGAATGCCAAAATCAAACGAAAAAAGACGAAATTGTAAAGAAATCAACTTTAAGACTAGATTATTCGCCAAACCATATTCTGTGCCATTTGCTCAACCCTCATGACCACGTAGATTTCATAATGAAAAGAACTTTTTTTTTGCAAAACTTTTTTTTTTATTCGCACGCTCACATCAGTTTTGGGGCTCCCGGAGGATGTCATCCATATAATCAAATCAACATGGCCTTAGTTCAGAAAAGTGGTCTCTAGTTGCCCGTATTTCATTGGCTGAAGCAGAACACATTTTATTTTGAGCATAAGCAATATGTTTTCCATAACAAGACGTCGTCGATCATATAGAAAAGTTTACTGACACAACAAAAGTACAGCGACTTTCGTAAGGTCTAAGACATGTAGATAATACAGACAAATATACATGAGTACAACAAAATTATCCTACGTACAAAACAATAAATGGGTCAACTAATACTACTTGTTCTAAGGTCTAAACGTTCTTTGATATATTTACCTATTTGTACACAGTAAGGGTTATTGCCTTCTAGGATGAAATTAAATTTATCTATAGCATAAATCTAACAAATTCTGTTGAGCAGGCGGAAAGAAGGTTGAACAGCTTTGTGCGTTTATCGTTATATGGCCTTATATAGTGTACAATCCAAAATAAAATGTTGTTCGTCTTCAATATCATTGGGACAGTATGGACAAAACCTCTGGTCGCGAGGTTTTTTTTTATATCTTCCTAATTATCTTCGGTAAACATATTGTTTTTACTCAATTTCTTCTTCCTCCTCTTCTTCTTCCGTTCAAAACACCTAAAAAAACGTCGATCAGCATGCTGGTAGGTTGGTACGTTCGACATTGAACCTTGGTCATTTTGGCCAACATAGATGTCAGAAAATGATTTTATGGCAAAAAATGCGTGAAAAAAGTTGCATTTTAAGCCAAAAATCGAACTTAAGAACCTGTTTGAAATTTTAGAATCAACGGTCGAAATTGGAATAGGGTTCGAGACGGCCGCGGGTCAATGACCGCGCGGCCGCCCCAGTGGGGCAGTGTTCGATCCACGGGCGCAGGTCAATGGCCGCAGCGAGGTAAGCCTTGAGTCTCCGGCGCAGCAGTCATAACCATTTTGGACAGAAGAAATATGTGATTATATTTTCCTGTAACACGTAAGGCCATGTTGATTTGATTATATGGATGACATCCTCCGGGAGCCCCAAAACTGATGCGCGCGTGCGAATAGAAAAAAGTTTTGCAAAAAAAAAAAGTTCTTTTCATTATGAAATCTACGTGGTCATGAGGGTTGAGCAAATGGCACAGAATATGGTTTGGCGAATAATCTAGTCTTCAAGTTCATTTCTTTACAATTTCCTCTTTTTTTGTTTGATTTTGGCATTCTACGACATTGGTATAGTTTTTATTAATTTTTTTGTAACTTATGGTATATTTTTGCTCATTTTGCAACTGTTTTGTACGATTAACAGTATGGTTGAAAACTTTTTTTGGAAACGGCCGAAAATTCATGCGAGCGCGGATGTCATCCATATAATCAAATAAACATGGCCTAACCAAGCTAGCTAACGTCGACGCCATTGTTGGTAATCTCCTGCAGTCCTGGCTTTGGACTAACAGACGGCCGCGGCATACTAGTAGAAATATGTGTTAAAATTATTGATCAGAACCACGAGATTGTTGATATACACGTTGTATGTATTATGGCGAGTGTTGATATATGCAAGGAGGTTAAATACATGTATTTAACTAGCCGCGGCGACTGTTGCAGGGCTTCTCTTGCTTGCAGTCTTTAACATTGGCCCTAACAACAGTCGCGGAGCCGTGCATTGGGCCAAATGAACAAACATGTGTTTTACCGGCTAGTATTTAACCGCCTTGATTTATGTGACAAAAAAGTTTATGTGACAGCAAATTTGGTACCATCCTTCACGACAGAAATAATAATGACAGAATTTCCATGTAAAAGTTTCGATTATCGATGAATTATGTTATAGAATTTAAAGATGTTATTTTTTTTACATTTATGTGATTATGTGACTTTTCTAACCTAACCCTAATTTAACCCTAACCCTAACCGTAACCCTAGCTAAAAAAATTCGATCAAAACAGGGACACCACGGTAGCATTGGAATCCCCTTCCGGTCAGAAGTTCAAAACTGCAAACCAAACTTCGATATCGTTTGTCGTTCCCGAGATCTAGACCCTAACCCTAATTTAACCCTAACCCTAACCCTAACCCTAGCAAAATTAAAATCGATCAATAACATGGAAACCATGGTATCATTGGAATCCCCTTCCGGTCAGAAGTTCAAAACTGCAAACCAAACTTCGATATCGTTTGTCGTTCCCGAGATCTAGACCCTAACCCTAATTTAACCCTAACCCTAACCCTAACCCTAACCCTAGCAAAATTAAAATCGATCAATAACATGGAAACCATGGTATCATTGGAATCCCCTTCCGGTCAGAAGTTCAAAACTGCAAACCAAACTTCGATATCGTTTGTCGTTCCCGAGATCTACGACCCTAACCCCGTCATGTATAACTACAAATACCCATGACTCGGAAGAGGCCCTCTTTTGGCTCACTGTGCCCGACCGCAGTATTCACTTAAAAAAAGCGTATACGTCCGACAATCGCTCGAACGCCGAAACTTCCCTGTCTAATCCTGCCAGTTATAAACAGGGTTTCACCTCAAATTCTTTTTAGATCAGTTCTGAGTGATGAAAGGGATTTATGGTGGACCTAAATTCACGCTATTCGGGCACAATCATTTTTTTTGTCGGGACTCTTTTAGAGACTACACGTGCGGAGTAATTGCGGATACAATCAGGAGAGTAAGCATTTCAAAAGTGAGCAGAAACGGATTATTTCCAAGTCATTTAGTCCTCTATACATTGTACCCTGTAGTGTACGATTGCCATGCAAAAAAAAAAGAGTTCCCTGTCCTCAATTACGGTAGGTAATGCTGATATTACTAAATCATAAAATGCTGATTTTTTTCAAGTCAAAAACTAACACTGACACAAGTTGCCTTCTTTTCTTTTATTACAGCAAATAGACATACACACAAATGGGGGGAAACACTGGGTCACTTTTCCTCTGTACTATAGAAACACTGTGCAATACCCTGGACTGGAGACCCAACCATTCCAGACATTCTGTAGGAGCAGATATAAAATAAAATGCTCTATATTAAAATCTCCATTCAGACACAACAACTGTATGACATGTTATGTACATGTAATAATAAATCCCAAGAATTCCATCAGTGGGGAGGAGGGGGTATAAAAAGGCCTGTCTGGAGTTTATACTATATATATATATTGAACACTGTAGAGCACATTGAAAATTCAACACACAAGAACATTTGACTTGGCCAAGTTTTCTGATACAGCTGGGCTTCTAATACATGTAGGTGGTGAATAAAAAAGTCACCCTGGTCTTTCTGAACACCCCTTGACACACAGTATACAGTTGAGGCAACGCTAGACCTAGTTAGATCTAAATGTGAGATTTCTTCAATGTAATGGCTAACTTATAAAAAAACTGCACCGATTGTTAACTAATACAGAGGTAGTACATGGTAAATAAAAAAAAAAAACCTGAAATAAAAAAAATTAATGTTTCCCTAACAAACAGGCATGGAGAATTAAACTATGACTGTAGAGATTAGATCATGGTAGAACCTAACTACCTGCCAGAGTTACCAGTGGTTAGGATGTACTGTCGCACACAAGTTAGAAGTTGGGTATGCATAACAAAATTGCGCATTCTATGAGCTGCCTCACTGTAGACATTATAGATCACAATTATATACTATTGTAGAGCACACTGGCAGAACGTACTGCACCTGCATAAACCGGAACATTTTGGGCATAGCACTTCGGCAGACACAAGGTCGTGCTCATGTACAGTATCTAAAGATGACATGTTGTCTTCACATGTTGTGTTGGAAAAGATATCGTACTGGAAAAAATGGAAAATCTAACAGCATGTTTTTGGCAGGCGCAGCACATTCTGGAAACTAATAAAATGAAGCCAGTTTTTGCTTCTGAGCCGTACCCAAAAATCTGCATACATGGTGTCAATGTGAAATGGTAGGGTGTAGAGGGTGGTGGGCTTTCTTAGTTTTCACTGTGAACGGACAGTGGCCATTCTAACTTCTAGTTAGGGCTGGAGGTGCGAGGTAGTATGCAAGCTTTGGAATGTTTTGTACTGTTGTCACCTAGTATTCGTTTGTGTGTATCAGGCTGAGGATTCTGTTACAATGTTTGTGTTTCAATGACTGTGTCACGTTTGAAATATCTATCTCTATAAACTTGCCGGGAGCTAATACATTCAATATCAAGGACAAATAGCAATATTCACAGGCGACCATGTGTCAAATGTTCAAGTTATTATGGACATACAGAAATGTAGTCGTTGGATTTTCACAACTGAATCTATTAGCTGATGAAGATGAATTTGGACAACCATGTGACCAAATATCCAAACATCAGACAACCCTGATGTTTTTCTTCAACCTTCTACACTGGTAGTGATTCCATGTCAATAAATATGCTGACAGATTTTGCTAGGGTTTTGCGGTGAGCTGGCGATAGTCTGAGACCCATCCTTGGCCAACTTGTCTCTGCTCCAACTACATGTATTTTATAATTTGTCAGATACAAGCTGAGCAAGGGTTGGTCTCAGGCGATGCTGAGGTACATGTATGGGAACAGGATAAACTATAACAATGGACATAATCATGTTTATACATCAAGAAAACACAAAGTATGAAGAGGTTTATTTGTGAGTACAATTTCGAAGCATGTGCTTCTTTCTAACACTGAAAGTTGGTTAAAAAAGGAAAAAAAAACCTTGCATGGAAATCGATTCGTAACCGTCTAGATTTCAACAAATGACACTTTATGTCTTCTTTCTACCCCATGGTTTGGGATAGCCCATTTCACAAGGACACATTTCTGGACTTTGGCATTATCACTGTAAGGGTGGGCAGGGGTGGAATTATAATAGGCCATGTATACACTGGGTCAGAATAGTGTGTGGACGAATGTTTGTTTGTACCTTACCAGCTTTACAAATTCACAAGGCAATCTATGTTGTCAAAGGTCTGAAAATTCCTATGGAAAAATACAGAGGTTCTGGGACTGCTTGATCCATTCATGTTTTTACACAGTTGTAACTTCTATAACCTCTTGTCAAACGTTTTCTGGCAGGTCAAAATCTGTTAAACCAGCTTTGAAGAGCATAATATTGTTGATTCGCTACAGACATTGTTTGTTACATTATTGGCCATACATCAATTTCATCTGCCCAATTTCTATAGGACTAGATTTTGGATTCTCCAAACTTTAACACCGAAAACTAGCGCCATTTCTAAACTCAACAAAACAATAGGCAGTAACTCTTTTAGGGTTCATGGCACTAAATGGATAAAGAATCATCTTTAATGTGCTTGTTCTGTGTTTTTTTTTACCAAAAATATTTTTCCAACAGTACTGGATGGAGTCAGTGGAACATCCTCATATTTTGGCAGGAATTTTTAGGTTGGAAAATCCAAGAAATTGTTGATGAAATTGGTAATGGTGGTGGTACAACACAGATCCATGTATGTAACTGAACAATTGTTACAGAATTCTTTGACAGGGAGGGGGGGTCTTCATAGCTGAAACTCCTGATATCATAGAAAAACATTCATAATAAGCATTAGGTTTCTCCTGCCTAATTCCAAGACATCATTTGAAATTTCAACATCAGAGGTTTTCTGACACAGCTACCATGTGCTTTTCCCCACACCCAAAACTTTGGGTTTGTTTTTAAAAGTTCAGATTTTTCCAGAAAGGAGAGACACTGGGCACCAAGTCAAGTGGTCTAAGCACTGTGGAGACAGCAAACATACATTATCCGGAACAACAATTACAAGATCATCTCATCATTGAATTACAAAAATAGGACTTTCGTAAGCATCAATTCTCGATAAACCACCACGATATAGTAAAACTCTATATGGTTGACTAGAGGTAGATTCTATGGCAGAGCCACGGTACATACAATACAATATTGTCACACTTGGCTTTTGTTTTGAACCATTCACACAAACCACAGAATGCTGGCTGCCTGGCATCGTCCTCACCACCCCTTCATCAGAATGGTTGTGTCCCTTGTTAGTGTTACACTTCTGCTACAGGTGGCATGCTCCATTCATAACAAGGGGGTGACGACCACTACAGATTTGAAGTAAAAATGAACAAAACCACACTGGCTTCTTTCAAGCTGCAGTACCGAGTGGCGATGCCAGGTGGCCAGCACAGTCACAAGAACCAAGTTCTCGTGTCACAAAGTATCTACTAACTGTACTAGCGAGGCACTACTGAATCACAATACAAAGTTTGCTGCAAACTGTACAGCTCCATCCTAACCTGTCCACCCCCGTTTACAAAGTTTTGTTACAGTCTTCACTGCTTATGTGTATCAAAAAATGGTACGATCCATTTCAAAATAGGGATGTTTCAAAACCGGAAGATGCATGAGAGAGAATATCTCGTCATGCACAGTATTCCTTTTTCTTGTATCGTTTTCTTGTTTAATATTTGGGATGTACCATGTTGCAGTATGGGGGTGACCAGGTTGCCGGACACAGCTTACAGGAAACATTGTCACAAAGCACCGACTTCATGGCCGTTGTTGTTGTTGTTTTGTTTTCACTTCATGTATAGCACTACTTGCAAGTGTACAAACGTTTCACGAGGTATACAAATAATGTTTGCACTCCACCAATGACTGTTACAGTCTGGAAAAAACATAGCACAATATAGATATAGATACAATATAGATATAGATATATATATACCAAACAGAGCACAAAACATAACTACACTTTTTCATTATATTGACATGAATATCTACTGTTGGACAAAAGCTACTACAAAAATAAAATGGCACATAAATATTACCATATATCCCTCTGGTTGGAGGGTATATAAACCATTGAAGTGGTCAAATGATAGTCTAGAGTGTTCGTTATAGAATTACTGAGAAAATTTGGCATCACAATATGCTCCTCCTTTCACATATTCCTGAGTTTCTAAAAACCTGTAAAATAGTCAACAAAACGGGCGACGGAAGAATATTATACATTTTTAAAAACTGCTGGCAGACAACACGAAACAAAAAAACAACAAAAACATAAACATACCCATATCTACCTCTCTCTTAGAGATTGTTACAAAATACATTAGAATACAATATAAAAAGAAAATACTAAACTCTTGTCTTGAAACTTACTGAGTGGCACATACCTTTTTTGGCAACCATCTTCATAAATTTCTGGAAGACACACTTCCAATCCATCGCATCATTCCATTTTATAAATGAGGTATACAAATGTAGTAACTGATTATCGCTCATTAGCATGATTAGTCTTAATTTTTGGCTTCTGATTGAAAGGTAGCAGAAAACTCATCATCTCATTATTTTCCTTCAAAAGCTTCTTTACGTTTGTCTGTTACCTACTTTACTTTGTCTTGCCTATACTTGTAGCAAAACGCTCAAGATTCGAGTATACAAACAACTTCAAGCCCTTTACATGTCTCTCTCTCCTCTACAAGAAAGAGAGTCCGTTTAGTATAACCATTTGCACTGCACAATCCTATAGATCTCCTTCTCATAAACCCAATTCCATTCAACTGTACTGAATTTCATTATCACTAGATATCTTTACACATTGACATTCAACTTAAGTTACGTCACCGTTTTGGTGCTTAACACTGTGTTACATCATATCAGTGGATGTAGACTTTGAACAAGTAGAATAAATTCATCTGTGTGTAGATTTGGCTTTTAAAAGTAACGGTGAAAACTCAGTCAGTTACAATTTAACATTTATGCTCAACTCCACTGTTTGCACGACATGCTGCTAAATATACACTTGCAAAATTAATCTTTTTCTGCAAGCTCTCAGAATTCAATAAAGGTATCGTCATACCTGATAATTATAATATCACTCTATTATTGTGTTCCCAAACACTTAAAATTTGATTAACTAAATTACTGGCAATTAAAAAACCTCACTCTGCAACCAACTGCAATGCACAACACACATATCCTCAGGCTGCAAAGAGACCAACCACAGACCTTCTTACATCTGACCAACCAATCACAGGGCTTTCCACAACAAACCAATCACGGACCTTCTTACAAGGAGGCTCGATTACCATATGTCTGAGCTAAAGGTAGGCATTCCAAGATGGAGGAAGATTTTGCACCCTTTGTTACATGGGCATTGTTTGAATGAAAACACAAATTTCATTCTTAGTTGTTTTTTTAAGCACCCCATTTACTACAAATTTGTAGTCAATCTAGGGATGCTTTAGCCAAAACTGTTTGTCTTTCTGTTTGTACAACAGAGTAAGAACTGTGAATTATCAAAGGAAGGAAATCAACTTTCTGTACCCGACTCAGCTCAACATAACACGCTGGATGGCAACCCTTACGTCACACCACGACAGTCACAATCCCAGTCACATACGACGGCACATCTGACAAAACCCACAGACCAACATCTTTCTCTAGACTCAAGCCACGACTCTTTTGTCTCACACACTGTGACGACACTCTTGTCCTGTGTTTTTTACTGCCACTGTTGTCCTTTGCTCAGTCTTGCGAGGCCACCCCCGTCTCTAAGGAGTACGTGTGAGTGATGACCGGCAGGGCTTCTGCCCCCGTGCTCGTCATCGTCATGGACGCCGCCCCGGCGCTCGCCGCCTCGCTCCCGCTCAAACCCGCTCCCGTGGCCGTGGTGACCATACTGCTCACCGATTGGCTGATGGTCGCCGTGGAGACTCCCGAGGCCGCTGCGGCGGCGTTCGCGGCGGCGATCTGGGCGATCTGCGCGGCGGTGTAGTGGTCGACCTGGGCTTGTTGGTACAGGGCGGAGCGAACTTCGTGCCGACGGGCTCGCATCAGAGACTTGTACTCCCCTGGGGGCAAGGGTCAAAGAGGTCAAGGGTTACGACAAGCACCTTCCTCAACAGTAATTGTATCAATCTTCTCTTCATCTAAACTACAAAGTCATGCAGTATAACCACTTCCTTACACATGTAAAACACAAGGACAAGAAAAAATTGTACAAAATACTAGTATCAAATAAGTAAAATTTGTTCACCACGAATGTTCAAACACACACAAGTGTAATTATGATGGAAATATGTTCAAAATTACATGCAAATTGATTCTAAACATCAGTGAGAACAGAAAAATAAAGCATTAAAATAATAGTATAAAGTATAAATACATGTACAGTTCATACACTCACTGGACAAATTCCCACGAAGCACACAGATATAATCTTAAGTTCTTAACATGCAAAAAAGACCATGCAAGGCACACGCACAATGTCCACAATAACACACAGGTTAGTAAAACACTGATGTATGTAGTAAAGTGACAGCTGCCCTGCAGGCAGTGAAGCCATGCTTGTATGCATCAAGGTCAGACTGCCCTTTCAGGGGCGACATGCCAAAATCCACCACTGGAGAGGGGGAGGGGGGCAGAAAATTAACTGGAATGCAGAGACCAAAGCAGCTTTAACTGAAACGTATTTCAGGGGGAACTACCGTTGACGGGCCACTCTTTCCTTTTCGAATCAACTTCGTGTCAAATTTGTCCTTGCTTTATCTGGTTTACGGAAACCATTTTTGATGTCAGAAATAACTAAAAAGATACATGTATTGGCATACTTCAGCCAAGTTTATAATATGATTGTGTTAGATTTTTGGGGCATTGAGTGAAAATTATTGTTTGCTAATCTTTCTGCCCAATGGGCAAGATTGTAGGTTTCAAAGTTTTCTGATTTTGTGGTAAGTACAAAGGATGTGTTTTAGGATGACTGTACAGAAAGGTTACGACACAAAAGATGAACACAACAAAACTCAAAATTCCACAGCATGTTATTGTCTGGAAAAAACAACCAGAACAGAAAAGGAAATCTTTACATAATGGGTGAACCAAACAGAGACAATACACGAAAGGCATGATCATAAAAATTGGAAAACGAAAACATTTGTATAGCATCACCCCAATGTTTTAGTCAAAACGTGGCAATGCAGTATCAGTTGAAACTGAGGAATATGTAAAAATTTGAAACTAATTTTTAGCAATTGCAGACTGAAGTAACTACTGAAGTTTCTCAAAGTACACGTTTCTTTTGTCAGGTGCATGCTGTGATAGTACTAGTAGTTGGGTCTGACAAAAACCGGACAATGTGGCCCCCGATATTGGGTTAGTCCCACGTTGATACGACAAGCACGATTGTACTACCTGCAAGGAGCCAGGCCCTCTCTTGTCCAATGAATGATGCTTTTCGTTTACCTATCCTCAACTTTTTCCCATCCACAATGCAGGTGCGTTTGGGACGGGGTTTGTATTTGTAGTCGGGGTATTTCTCCAGGTGGGCCTTGCTGAGACGTGCCTGTTCCTCATAGTATGGCTGCTTCTCCTGGTTAGACATGGACTTCCATCGAGAACCTGAAGAACAAGGTTTGTCAGCTTGTATTTTAACACAAGTTTATTGCAAGTTCTTGCCGGTAGGCTAATGGACCTATACCATTATTACGCCACAGTTTGTTTACCTGTTCTAAAGAACATTCTAGAACGGTCAGTTAAAGAATAAAGATCATTTCAAAGTTTTCAAAGTAAGGTATGTCTGGTTTTTTGCTGCGTCTAGTTGTGTTGACACAGCATTACATGCCGCAAGGGTGATTTAGTTGTGACATTAGAGGAAGGTAGTACTGTATTAAAAGCCTTATATTAGGCTAACGCTACACAAACACATACCGCGCTACGCACCCCTGTACAATATAAACGTCGATTGACCGGCATTCATTGCGGTAAACAAACTGTGAGGTAATAATGGTAAAGGTCCATTGCAAGTACATGTAACATGAAAATCAAGGATGGACAATGGATAACAATATAGTACATGTATGTGACTGCTCTAGTTACTAAACACTAAAATCTAACTTATTGGGTTTGACATCTTTTTCTGAGACAGTGGAAGACCAATGATCCCACTTATTCTACTATGTGTGGATTTTGAAACTCACCAAGGATCTTGCTAATATTGGAGTTGTGCATGTCGGGAAAGCTTTGGAGGATCTTGCGTCTCTCGTCCTTCGCCCACACCATGAAGGCGTTCATTGGTCGCTTGATGTGCGGCTCGCTCACCGTGCGACCCCTGACCTCTCGGTAGATCCTCGCTTCTTGTATGTGGGGATCTGCAAGATGAAGTATCGTTTTTATATTAACAACCCGATAATGGACCACAATTCTAAGCCAGCCATTTTACATTGCCTATAAATCTGTGTGAACCTGAAATTTATTGTCATTTCTTACCACGTTTCTGTAATCATTTCATACTGGAAGCATTTGAAAAAGCCAAAAAAACAAGCTACGTGAGAGGTGTTCATTTTTGGGTACCACCAATAAATAGCTAGAACCAGCCTGCGCAATCAAACAAGCAACAGTTTTCAGTCAGGGACATCACATTTAAGTCTTGCATAGATCAGTAAGCTATGGGGCAGGGTTGATTCAACTGACTACATTAAAAACTTGACCAGAAAATTGGAGTTAAAATTCTGTGTCAGATGTTTTGCCACCCTGAAATTTCATTGGATGCCTGTAAGATAACAAATGACCAATTTACAATGTTGTACTTTATCTATGCCATACCCACCCCAAATAATGTGCCTTTCAATCGGCTGTTCCGAGATCAGGGTGCGCCAATGGCATCGTGCATCGTTATGTCAATCTTACTCTGTATTTATCGCATTCTGTTGACATTTATCAAACTTGTTATACTAGTACAGTTATTTTCCAGACAATCAGGAAGAGATTTGGTGTTAAGATGTTTAAAACTTATGCTATGGCCAATTTAAGACCAGAAATTGGCATAAAATCTACGTTATGCTGTTGCACTTGAAAAATGCCAGTTTTTGAAATATGCTTTTAAGTAATTTGGGAACAAAAAATGGAATGAAAAGATTTGCAATATGTTCAGACATGCTCAGTCTGATATGTTTTGCAAAAAACCTGATGATGATTGGAAATTTCTCTTTTCTACAGCGCATTTATCAATATGTTGTACACGTTATGTAAAATTCATAAATTAACACATTGCAATTAACTTATCTCCCTGTACTAAAAAGGATGTTGATAGAACTGGCCGTTTTGCATGTTATGCAAGGTACATCCATATATGACACAAAACATGTGTTTTTATGTTGCTTGTCCTTTGGGTAAATATGGCTGATGGCTTACAGTTACCTGTCTTTTTTGTCCGAGAAAATGTGTAGTGTCCGTTGCTCGGTAATAACTTAAAATAGAAAAGCTGTGGGTGCATATGATTTCAGGTTTTGAAACAGCTGAAGATGCTGACTTAAAACACAGTAGCTATTTCAGTCTATTGCTGTAATTATATGAAATAATGTCAAAAAACCTCAAGGGTGTAGTGTCCGTTGCCATGTAGTGTCCGTTGCCAAGTATACCATATAGGTACATTAATTACATTTTGTTGCAAGTTTGAAGTTATTTTGTCATTTATGTTATTTCTGTAGCATTTTGTCAACCCCTAAATGACAGGTCTTGCAAGATTTGGTGTTCTTGTCATGTACTTGAGCGGCCAGATGTGGCCGGCAACGGACACTACAGCTTAGCTGTAGTGTCCGTTGCCGGCCACATCTGAAATGAGTGGGCTAAGTTTGGAAGAGCACAACTTTTGAACCAAACGTCTCTATCCAAAAATTTAAAAAGTGCAATGTATGGCAACACCTCTAGTGCGATTTTCTGCACTGAAAGTAGAAAAATATAAAACTTGAAAAATTGGCCCAAGTGCAACCCTTTGGCGCACCCTAATCTCGGAATAGCCGAATGCAAAATGAGCCAAAATTTGGTGTCCCTCAACCAAAAAATGCGACAACATCAATTCCATTGTCCAAATCCTGCATTTGACGTGTTCAAAAATTAATAATTGTTCTATGGAAGTCATGGATGGCGGGCGGTACCGTAAAGGTACCTCTTATCGAACGTTATCACGGCCCGGGTATGATATACAGTGTAAATGTACATACTTGGCCTGCCGTCAGCGTCCAGTTCACGATGGTGGCTGGACGCAGCCGCTTCCTCCGAGGTCAGGTCTATCACCATCTTCCCAGGCTCCTTCACTTTCTGAGTCAGCTCCGAGGACGCGCCCTCCCCGCCGACCTTGCCGGAGGTCATCTGCCGCATGTAGAGCTGGTGGGTCAGCGCCTCCAGGGCGATCTTCTCCTTGTCCACGCCCTTGCTGCCCTCCGCGGCCGGCGAGGTCTGCTGGGACAGTCCGTTCATGTGAGCCGTGGTGGTCAGCACGCCCACCGACCGCAGTCTTTCCAACTCAGCCTGCTGTTTGGCCTGAGTAAAGACAGAGAAGAAGTTATGACCAAAAGGGCTAAACGTTCTATCCAACACTAAGTAAATTAGGACTTACCAAATTTTTGACCGACTCCGTCCGAACTTTCATGCTAAGGGAAGAAGTTGTTTTGCTATTTGATCTGTTGATTACAAGCAATGTAATATACAAGCAAACTTATTGAAACTGATTTAATGGCAGGATTTTTCTATAATTTAAAGTGATTTGCAAATATAGCTGGCATCTACTGTAAGTTATTAACAGTGATTTTTCTTAAAAATCGTCTTGCATGTACATTGAGCAATGTCTCATGAAATACTTAAAGATGTACAAATGTATATATGGCGGCACACTTTCTGGAAGGAGGCCCAATCAGCCTGACAGCGAGAGATTGTGACATACACACACACACACACACACACACACACACACACACACACACACCTACACACACA